CATTTGCCAAAAGGCCTTTGTGGTACTTTCACTTTCTCTAAAGGGCATTGGTTAAAATAATTCAGATCTGATGCACTGTTCCAGAGCCTTTGGAAAAGTCTGATCTTGCATTAATTTTTGAATTCTTCTCTTTTTTTTTTACTTGCAGCTTTCCTGCATATATCTGTGCCCACTAACAGAGTCCAGGTGTGTACCTGAGAAACTAGCACTGTTCAGGTGTCCAGAAACACGAAGTGTGGAGGACAGGTGGGCAAGGCATACCTGATCCCAATTCTCTACCACACTCACAATTTCAGAGAATCATATAATTGGAAGGGGCCTAGCAGGCCATCAGGTCCAACTACCTGAAGGCTCCCATCCAGATTTCAAGCCAGCCCACCCCTGTTCAGCTTCCAAGGCACCTCAGGCTCAGTCCTTTTTCTGTTTGAGTAGGATGCACAATTCTATAAACAGACGCATTAGTCAAAGTACTGTAAGCCGCCCTGAGATATTTATATAAAGGCCGGCAGAGAAAAGCTTTTAATTAATTAATTAATCAATATGGCTCTAAGGGGGAACTCCCTTGCATCCCCAAAAGGGTTCAAGGAGGACGGAAGTGTTCTCTGGCCATGGTCTGCTGGCTCAGTGCTGCAAGGGCAAAAGGAAGAGAATTCCAGAAGGGTTTCAGTTCCAGCCAGCCAGCCAGCCCTAATAATCTCTCTCTCTCCCCCCCCCACCCGCCCGCCCACAGAGAGAGAGAGAGAGGTTGGAGGGATGCTTGTACCCAACCATCATGCCAGCCAGAGAGGTTCTAGCATAGTCTTTCCCCTGACATTTGGGATTTTACTTTATCCTCCAGAGGGGCACGAAACAGCCAGAACCGCATCCCCTGCAAGCTCCGCTCAAACACTGGTCTCCTCTGTAAGAACAAGGAGACGAAACAGTGGCACCACAGCCAAAGGCTACTGATCAGCCTTCCATCCCCGGTGAGGAGGAGTTGAGGAAGAACTGGATGCATCCAAACAGCCCCGGATCCCTTCCACGGCTGAGATCTCCCCCACTGCCTGGTTTGCATGCAGTCCCAGTTGGTCCTTTGTGCCGCAAGTGAGAAACCAGTTGCTCTTGGCACAGATCAAGGCCTCCTGGTTGGCACCCAGAGGACGAGGCAGAGGAGTGGAAGTGCTCGTCTCAAGGCCAGGCTCTGCAGGTGGGCAGGCAGTTCCCGGGAAACGCCAAGATGTGCCGTTGGTGGAAGGGGACCCTCAGCACGGGAGTTTCTCAGGCGCAGACCGGGCGGCCCCGGCGGCAGCAGAGGAAGGAGGACCAGTTAGAGGACCAGGCTGCAGAGAGCAGGTGCGCTCGCTTTCTGCAGGCCCCTCCTAAAGGGACGGGGCCCAGGCATGCGCCTAAGGAGCGTTCCCAGAAGTGCATCCTAGACTGGGTTCCACAAACCTCTCTGTGCATGCTCAGAGGTGCCTTCTGAGTGTTTCTGTTTCTGGAAAATGCCTTGGTTGATAAACTTTTGCAAGAAAAGTCTGTGGCTTTAAAAATGTGCAGGAGGAACGCTGGCTCACGACACTTTCCATGCATGGTGTGGGATATTCTGTAGCAGCACCGGTTCATCTGGAGGCAGAATTCATACAGCCTGCTGTTTGATGAAGTACGTGAGCTCCTACTTTCTGTGTCACCGAGCTGTGCACCCATGGCTCAGAAAGACCTCCAAGGTCAGCCTTGTACGAAAGGTACCCCAACACAACAACAATGGTTGAATGTTGAATTCAAATGTCGAACAAGGCATCGCGTAGGCTTGAAACAAGAAGCTGATGCATTAGTTTTGCTTATTTTTTATTTCTATAAATTTGTACAAAAACATGTTTTTTCCTGATCGACAGTATTGCATGAAATGCCAAAGCCTGGAGCATTTCTTTGCCTAGCTACATGTCAGAACCAGGATGACAGGAATGCAAAATCCCAGGAACAGAAGCCCGAGCTTTCAGCATTACCCAAAGGCACATTTAGAGCTTAGGATGTTATCAACGACTGAAGGCGGCAGGTTAAACATGCAAGAGTGCAAAATATTTAAATATATATTGATAGATATGCACACACACCGGGCTCTGAATATATCTCTCTATAAAGCATCGTTCAACATCCATGTAAACATCATAAAATGTCAATACATTGTGCAGAAGAGCTATTTTATATACATTCATCAAATACTTGAGTAGGAAGAATCACCTTTGACATTAAAAACGGAGAAACTCCTAGAGTTAAAGAGAGACCTTGCTTCCCAAAAATTTCATCCAAGCAGGTTCCTGTTAGATTTAAACTCTCTCCCTCTCAGATAGTCAACACCATCCCAAACAAAGGCTCCTGTGCTTTTAAAAGGATGCATGGGCAGGGAGAAACCGAATCGGTATCAGCTGACAAGGGCTGTGTCAAAGTAACTTAAGCCAAAGAGAAAGCTCCCTTCCCCATGGACCTTACCAATCTAAATGGCGACAGTGGAGGCAGCTGGAGACCCAGGGTGGAGGGGGAACAGAGGCATAATTGTACAAATGCTTGTACACAGGTCTCTCTGTAAGTCTGGTGTTGCACCCAAGTGCCACAGAAAGGGTGCATCTGAAGCAGAATTTGAACTGTGACAGGAAGGTGGCGAAGTGCAGGTGTGTCAGGAGAGAGCTGGAAGTGCAAGGGCCTGTAAGGAGGAGCAGAAAATGGCAGAGGTCTGCCAGAAAAGCAAAGGTTCTGCACAAAGAAATCCAAAGAGAAAGGCTGGGCAAGCTTTCAAAGGTAAGAGCAAAGGGACAGGTACAGATTTTCCTTTCTTTGTGCTCCAGTGACAGCAGAAATCAAACTACTGAATTTCTCCCCATCCTGGATCCACTAAAAATGAAGGAGTCCCTCTCTGTCTCTTGGATGTGTGCTTTGTCTGCAAAAGTGCGGGCTTGTCGCAAGCACAAACTTGCCCTGTCAATATACCAGCTCTTAATTTTGAGTTAAAATATCACTGACACATCATAGTGAGTGCCCAGCATCTTCTCAAAGTTCTGCAGCATCATTAAAAGAGTTGGCTCTCCAAAAACACGCACTGGAAAGACCGGGGGGAAAGGAGAAACAGGAAATTTGTGGAGAGCGCTAACAGAGCAAGGTCTGTTTTCAGAAAAGGACTTTGGTTCCCAACCCCTCAAATGGAAAGGAAACAAGAAGCCAACTTCAGAATGCATTGTTTGTGCTTCCAGGAGGGGCCCTTTTAACGAGGAATCTCCTTGTGCTACATAACTGTCTAAAAAGTACTTCGTGTACAAGGTTATCTATAGTGCCAGAGGGGGAAAATTTAAAATCTAGTATGGTATGAAAAAAACAGGCGCTGGGTTTTAAACCCCAGAACTGGGTAAGGTTAACCATGCAATGCCCACCTTTTCTTTGGAACTCCGGCGACGCACAACACACATTCCCCTCCGATGGCTTCCTGCCTCTGTCCCTGCTCCGCGACTGAACCCCCTTTAAAAATCTTCCCCCTCCTTCAACCAGCAAGCCCCTTCATGTGGAAAGATCATGCCACCTGCTTACATCACACCCACAAGGGTGCAGGGTTGAACTACAGCCTGCTTTCTCTGCCCCAACTTCACCTTGCGGGGCCAGGCAGCAAGCGAGCCCCAGAGAATCCACACAACCAGCCTGTGCACCCGCTGCCAGCAGGCCCGCTGAGCAAGCACACTTCTGCTTGTCCGCACGTGACCTGTGGGCTCTACGTACTTGTGCACTTTGCACACTCTGTGCAAGAAGAGGTCCGTGGACTTGTTCGTGGCTCAGCTTGCATCCTGGCCAGAAGCAAGTGCAGGGAAGGTGTCTCAAAAGCACAAGAGCACCAGATTCTGGCCAGGTTCAGTTCCAAGGGGCTGTCCTAAAGGTCTCACTGTCACAGCACCTGCAGTTCCAGAAAAGACCCCGCCCCACACGACAGGGAGGCCTTTCTTGCAGAAAGTGCCATGTTGGAAAGGAGCCAAAACTTGCAGGGCCGAAGCACTGGGACTCTTTGAAAGGCAGGGACAAGTGACAATCAGCCACCCCACTCGGACTCCCCTGTCCCCTCCGAACGTATCTGCCATCCTCACAGCGGGGGGATGCCTTCCCCCAGCAGTACCATAGCCTTCCTCTTCTCATGCGGGATATTTTGGGGTTCAGCAAATGAAAACCCCTAGAACTGGCTTGTGGACAGGGATCAAAATCCCTGCCTGCACTTTTGGACTTCCTTCGCCAGCCACAGGGTGGTGGTCCTACGAGGACGAGTTGCATGGACCGCCATAAGGAGCCCCCGCATGGCAAGGTAACCCACAGTGTCAGCGATGTGGCCACTCCAGGGCAGGAGAGCATTCAGGACCTTCTGGGCAGCCGTCAGGTTCTCGTGAAAGTCCATCCAAGTAAGTGCCTTCTTGCGCTTCCTCCTCCGTCACACCCCCGACTTTTGCTTTGCTCGTTTGATGCCCTTTCAGCGAGTCCCAAGCGGAAGCTAGCCGGGGTCCAGAACTCAGCGGCAGAATAGAGGAGACGGTTCAGTTCGTAGGATCTCCAGCTAGAAGTACCTCCAGAAAATGGCTGGAGAAAGTCTCTCTCTGCTCGAGCCCTGGAGGGCCTCTGCCCACACAGAGGAACCCAAGAAAAACGGCAGATTGCAGAAGACAAATGCATGCCTTCTTTTCTTGGCCCAGTTAAGAGGTCGCCAGGAAACTCATCACGCCATGGATGCAGCAGGGCAGCTCTGCCACAGACCAAGAAAAAAGCTTTCCAGAGAGAGGTCTAACATTCAAATATTTAAACAACCTTTTTTCCTCTTTTCTCTTTTCCAGGCTCACGCACGCCATCCATGCTCGTTCCCCTGATCCACAGACTAGAACACCAAACAACTCGGACTCTGGCGAAAAAGTGTCTTTTGATGCCGCTTTGCAAGCGAGTTGCTGCCAAAACAGAAGCCCCCCCCCCCCCGAAAAAAACCCCACACCCACTCTGTCTTTGCACCGTCAATTGATTTCCAAGGTGTCCGTCTCTGGCAGGCCAAATTTCGTCTTGTACTTGTCAAAGAGTTTAATTAGAGAGCTCACGTAGAGGCTGTGATAAAAGTCTACTTCCTTCTGGCTTGGATTATCGATTTTAGGAACAGTGATGGGCTCCCCAACTAGAAGGCAAAGTGGAGAGAGAAAAGACGACAAGCATTCAGGGTGGCAGAATTTCAGACCCTCGGCCGGCTTCCTCAAGCTGATGCCCTCCAAAGGCACTGGACTACCACTCCCCTCATCCCCAGTCATCAGAAGCTGCCACATGGACACAGACCTCGCATCAGAATAGGACTGACTGACTGACTGATTGATTGATTTAGGAAATTTATAGGCTGTCCATTACTGTCGTCTCTGGACGGCTTACAATATATTATAAATCCTAAACAAAATAAATTGTAAACAAAATTAATTGTTGAAATAAATATTCAGGGGAGAATTACTCAGCTCTCCAGGCCACTCAGCCGCTGACCTGAAAGTGCCCAGTCCTGAGCGAAGGATCTGCAAAAGGGAGACTTGGGTACCAAACCACTGAATCACAAGCTCTGTTCTATCCTGGGGGCGCTGAGTCAAGAGAACCGTGTGTAGTTTTTGTAACCCTGTTGCAGGCATTCATTAGCAATGCTGGGAAGTCTGTATTGTCGGCTCGGCCCTGTGGATGGTCAGTGCAGCTACGCAGATTCACATTTAGGGCCTCCACATCAAACCGTCACAGCCAAGATTCTCTTTTCTTTGTGTGTGCTTTCCCTGTCCCCTGAATATAGCCGTTCCAACTCAAGATAGCATGTCATGGAAGAGGGGGCACCCAAAAAACCCAGGGATTTATTTATTAAAAAAACTGTATATTTATTTCTACATATTCAAACTTCAGTCACCTTCAAAGTACTCTCCATTGATGCAATACACCTATTGATTTTTTCCCCACTACTCAAAACAGGTTTTGAATGCGTTGATTTTGATGCCTTTTAGTGCTTCTGCTGGTTTTTGTTTCACCGCTTCCACATCGGCAAAACGTTCCCCTTTGAGGACTTTTTTCATCCGGGGAAACAAAACAAAGTCGCTCAGGGTGAGATCGAGTGAATAGGGAGGGTGGGGCACCAGGGCCGTGTCAAAACAAGATTTCACCACTCCAGGTTGTTTGGGTAAATCAGCCATCATGAAATAGGCAAACGTCCCTATATGCCTTCAGAGTGTGTCTACCCGGAGCAGGGCCTTCTCCGCAGTGGCCCCAGACTATGGAATGTGCTCCCCAGAGAGGTCCGCCTGGCGCCGACATTATACTCCTTCCGGCGCCAGGGGAAGACCTTTTCTTTAACCATCATTTTAATAATCAAGGCTTTTAGATGTTTTCAGATTTTTAAAATTCAATTTAATTTTTATTTTTCCTCTCTCCACAGTCACATTTTCTATTCTTTCCCTCTTTTTTCTTTTAAGTTCACGATGTGTTGTTTTATATTGTTTAAATAATTGAGGTTTTACATTGTAATTTTCTATTGTGTGAGCCGTCCTGAGCGCTCGGCGAAAGGACGGGATATAAATGCTTGTAATAAATGATAAATAAATAAATCGTGTTGAGAGGGGCTCCAAGAAAAGCCAAACGCAGCCTCTCACAACGCACGACCCAGTTGTGTACGCTGATGCGGATGGGCTCCTAGAACACCCACCAAGCGGGGGAAGCCTGTGCTACGAGGGGCCCCCCTCCAGAAGGTAATTCCTGGGTTTTTTGGGTCCCCCTCATACGAGATGATGCAGTTTTGGCCTCAGCACCTCCTCTGCAAAGCTGACACAGGGCACAAAAGGAAAGCGTTCGAGGGGAGGCGGCGGATCCACGGGATCCAGTGCCCACCCCGGCCCCCAGCACGCTTCCAAAGGGAGGAGCGAGCAGAGCAGATCATCTGGAAGCAACAAGGAGGGGAGCAATGAAAAGAAACAGCCGCCGTATTTTTCGCTCTATAAGACGCACTTTTTTCCCCCTCAAAAGTAAGGGGAAGCGTCTGTGCGTCTTATAGAGCAAAAGTCTGTCAGATGTGCAGCCCATGGGGAAGTGATGGGGAATGTGCCTGTGATTATGCGCCCATTTGACTCAGAATATTTTTTTTCTTGTTTTCCTCCTCTAAAAACTAAGTGCATCTTATGGTCAGGTGCGTCTTACAGAGCGAAAGATACGGTAAGTAAAAAGCAGCAGGGGAGGCCGTCCCTCCTCCTTCCTCGCTGGCTCAGTTCCTCGGTTCCTCCCCTCCGTAAGGATCGTCCTGTTTGCCTTTAAGATGCCAAAGGCACCGTCACGTTGGCCTTAAGTGAGGACATGCTGCACGAAACGGGGGTCGCTTGCATTGCCCAGAAGGTCCTTGTTCATCCTCACTCGGCTGCCCCCGCCAGCAGCCCCTCCAGCAGGCCGTGCGGAGGAAGATGAGGGCGAAGCATGGCCCACCCCGCCATCCCCGCTGCTGGACGGCTTCGTCCTTTCCCCTCCCCTTTTCCTTGGGTGTCACCACCTCTTTCAGGACTGTAAACCTGCTTTTGCAAAATACTGCCCTGTTTCCCTCATTACATGCAAGCCACTCTGGGAAGCCTCCCGGCTAAGGAGAGGGATAAATACATGTAAAATATTTATTGATTCCAGTGAATGAATAAATGGATGAGCCCATTTGCCGTGGTCTCTAGCCACACCTGGCAAATGGCAGGGTTTTGTCCCATTCTATATTTGACTTGCCTTCTCGGGGGGAAGAGAGCTAACCCTCCATTTAAAACACTGTCCTTCCAACTCTCAGTTTCTAAGCAAAGCCTGAAGTGAAATGACTGAAGTTGATTCGCAGCAGCCAAATGCATTTCTGCTCCGGGTACAGAGCCAACCTGGCATCCCATCCCTGCGGCAGGAAGCCTTACCGACAGTGGTGATGGGCTTGGGATATGGCAGCAGCCCCCAGCTGTTGGAGGAGAAGAGGCCTTGTCCGTGGAAGACACAAGGAGCAAAGCCGACGTATTTCTGGAACTTCTTCTGCACCCATCTTCCCCAGGAACCTTCTTCAAAGATCACCTGCCTGTAGACCTCATTCTCGCCAAAAGAGTAGATCGGAACAAGATCCGCGCTGGAAGAGAGAGGAAGGACCCGAGTGTCAGACCCTCTTTGGTGGCAACATGCAGGGGAGGGCTTCCTGGCCACCCCAGGGAAGGGATGGGGGAAAGACCAGCTCCCCAGCTGAGAGGAACCTCAGGAGAACAGATGGTCGAATGAGCAGGACTGGGCCATGACCAGTGGCCGTGTTCTCAGGGCCCAACTGCTCCACTTCAAGTATTTTTTGAGCTCCAAACAAATTCCTTCCACTGTCGTTTGCCTGACTAACTGGCACACTTGTTGTAAGACTACAACTCCCATTATTGCAGACCACTGGTCATAGGAGGCAGAGCTGGTGGAGCTGGAGGCCACCAGCAGCTGGAGAGTCAGTGGTTCCCCTCCTCTCCCCACTATCCAGGACAAATGGAGGAACCCCTGACTGCACATGGACTCTCGAGTTTGGATGCACGCCGGAGACCGTTCGGTAAGAAACGGGTTTATTGCACGGGGCTGCAAAGTGGGACTAAAGTAGGGCCGTCACTCAGCCCCAGAGGCCTGCAGAAAGAAAAGACGCCTGGGGCATTCCGGGCAATCCCACCATGAAGACAGGGATGGCCCCACCCACCTGGGCAGCTCTGTGAGAGAAGGAGTTGGCTTTCCAGCGTTCTGCCTCCAATATCAGGCAGCAGACCCCGGAGCAAACCGAAATGAGGAAATGCAGGGACGTGCTTGGCTGCTTGCAGCGACATGGGGCGCCTGGGCTTGGATCTGCAAACAGGGCATGCCAACATACTTTGCCAAGGAAAGGGGAAAAGGGAAAGGCAGCCTCCTACATCCCTGCTGCTACTGAATCACAGCCAGCTCGCTGGCTGGCTAAGCAACGGGGATGGCCAGGCCTTATTCTTCCCCTGCAGCCATTCAAATCCGGCTGTTTCTCTTAATAACTCAGAGAAGTACACCTGGTGCCGATGCTCTACACCTTTGGGCACCAGGCTAAAACCATTTTCATTCCCTCGGCATTTGGACTGTTGAAACCTTATATTATATATTACTTTTGTGGCACGACAGAGTAACTCCTTTAATTACGATTTCTTTCTTATTATTATCAGTGTCCTAGGCTGTTCTTCACTGCTCCTGGCTATATACTCCGTTGTTACGGATCATGACTGTGCAATGATTCTTGGTTTTTTTCTTATTGCAATGCAGGGGCTTTGTTTTATATTTTACATGTTCGCATCCTGTCCAGAAAGCCGACTGACTGTAAGCACAGCAGAGAAATGGCCCCTTCCTCAGAAACGAGAGAGATTCCCCCTGGGCTCTTTTAGATGAAATAAATAAAGAGTCCGGGGGGGGGGGTCTCTCCGTTTTCCGAGGAAGGGTGCGTGACGCTCACTGTGGGCCGCCTCGCGCTCGTACCCGTGTTGCAGCGCCAACTTCACGAAGCCCTTCCGGTGCCGCAGGGTCACGGAGTTCTTGCCTGGCGTACAGTTCAGGGACTCTGCAGCGCCCCCGACCACAATCACGATGGCGTTGCCGGTGCCGTTCCTGGAGAGGATGTAGTTCATGCTGTCTCGGTTGACGGGGCAGATACCTGAAGGTTGAGACGGAGAGGGTGGGAATCAGAGGGCGCCCGGGCGGCAGACGGGGTGGAGCGCTGGACCGGGGACGTCTGGGCTGCTGTTCTCAGGGGCTTGGAAGGGCAGCCCAGAGAAGCACCTTCGGAGAGGGGCTGTTTGGCCAGGCCCCCGGTGCTCGGCCCCCGGAGCTGGACTGTGCCCTCATCTGCCACGTTCCAGCAGCTCCCAAGGGCCTGGGCCAGTTTGCCGTTCGGCTGTAGCCACTGGGCTTGGGATCGAAGGAGGGAGTTCATCAGGGCTGCTGCCCAGCTGGGTACCCCACAGCCAGTGCCAGGCCTGGGCCACCTCTGACCTCGAACCAAGCCAGGGCACAGGGGAAGAGAGCACACTGGGGCCTCCCCGAGTCCCAGAAGCCTTGGGAGACACCACCACGTCTCGCGAGACGGCCAAACGCTACGGGTAGCTTATTTATTTGCAGCTTATCCCGCTTGTTTCTTCTGAAAAGGCCTCCGAGTGGCTTACATCGCTCTCCTCCTCTCCATCGTATCCCCACAACAACAGCCCTGTGAGGTAGGTTGGGCTGAGGGACTGTGATGGCCCAAAGTCACCTGGTTGATTCCATGGGGACTAGAACCCAGATCACCGGAGTCCCGGTCCCACACTCTCAACCACTGTGCCACACTGGCTCTCGCAAATCTCGTGAGATGTCGCTTCCCCTCCATGCCCGCTTTCCCCTCTTCTGCCTCCAGGTGCAAGGAATCCAAACTCTTGAGCGAGAGATGCATCCAGACGTGCTGCCTCGGATGCCGGAGGGCTCCTGCCAGCATAACCGGAAGCCCTTCCCAGCCCTCAGGGGTCCAGCAGTTGGCCCCACCAGGTTTCTGAGCTCAAGACGCGCAGGCTGGATTGGGAGGCTGCAGGGGAGTTCCTGCTCTTACCCCCAGACATTAAGTAGTCCCTCAAGATGGGCATCCTGAAGTTGCCGGCGAGGGTCGCGAGGTACGGCCGAATCCCGGGAAACTTCTGCCCCACGCCTGTGGCCTCTGTGCCGAAGTTGCAGAAGGCCCCCAGCCCCATGATCCCGTGCGGGTGGTAGCCGAAGATGTAATTCCGGTTGGTCAGCAAGTTGTGGGTTTTGACCAGCTGAGGAAGGAGGGAGAGAAAAAACGGAGGGGGAAAACATGTTAAAGTAACTTCAGATCAAGTGGAAGGCTCTGGTCTCGTTCGTTTCCCAAGGAGGTATTGACAAATTGATCAGTAATTTGCATGCAACACAGTTTTGTATTATGGTAATGCTTGACCACCTTTTTCTAAAACGGCCTCCTTCAACTGGGCACCCTGCAGACGTGTTGGACTACAGTGCCCATCACCCTAGACAGCATGGACATCAGGGAGAAGGGAATTGCAGTTTAAGGGTTGTGGAGGGTTCCTGGTTGGGAAGGCTGCTCCGAAACAAGAATGGCGGAAAGTAGATTGCCAGAAGCTTTGGATTTGGACTTCACCTCCCAGCATTCCTGACCTTTGGCCATGGTCCCAGGGGATTCTGGGAGCTGAAGTCCAAAACGCCTAGCGATTTCCCTTCAGCCCACATTGATGTAAACCATACACCAACAACAGGTTGTGATTTAATCAAGCCAATGCTAATAGAAGTATCTGAGGGAAACCAGGTGCAAACTGCTCTTTTTGTGAGATGAGCATCTGGGGTCCATTGTCCTTGGAAATAAATTAAGAGCTGTGGAAGGGAAACGGAAGTCCTCCCTTAACCTCCAAGTCCAGCCCAGCCCTTCGGCTCACAAGGGTGTCAAGCAAATGCTATTCATTTGGGGTGGGTGCCAGAGAGAGATGTGGAAACAAGCAAAAACTCCAGCTTTGGAACGGCAACCTCGCAACTCCACTCACTCGGCCAAAGAATCCACAAAGGATCCTGGTTATTTCATCTCCTACCTATTAAGCTTTGGATGCCGGATGTTGAACATACAAAGCTTGCTGACTAGAGTTGTTTGATGGCTGATCCTTTTTGTTTCGCTGAGTTATCAACGCTATTTATTTATTGCTTTGTTATTTATTGTTTTAATTATTGTAACTATTGCTGCTGATTGTGATTTTATTATTATTACTGTTCTAATTATTGTAAGCCGTCCTGAGACGTTTTATTGGGAAGGACGGGGTTCAAAAGTTTTCGATAAACAAATAAAATAAATTAGCCCAAGAAATGCTCCCAGCTTCAGAAGGCTGGCTTGCTGCAGATATTCCCACACTGCAGGCTGAGTTGTGCCCCAAAGCAGGCTTTGGGGTGTGAATTTGCAGATCCCACTTCCGTGGCGGCGGCAGCAACCAGCTTGGCCTGCAAGCTCAGGTCACGGCGGCCACTTATTACCATGCAGCGTGGAAGATTTCCCTGGGTAAGAAGAGCGAGTTTCTCCTGTAAGACGCACGCAGTCACCGCAGGCCCTTCCTGTAATTCCAGCAAGCGACAATCGTGGCCGTTTCTCCTTTGTTTCTCGATAGCTAGAGACCCCCCCTCGCGGCCCACGGCAGGTCTGTGCTGCCACAGACCCACGGCCAGTGGCGCCCTCCTTGCCTTGAGATGAGGCCAACACACACATGAACGAAATGCTGACAGGATAGCTCTGCTCGTGTTCCCCTCAGGCTCACACCTTCCCCACCCTGATAGAAACATAGAAACTGAGCGAGTCAGAAGGGGCCTCCCGGGCCATCTAGTCTGACCCCGGCTCCAGCTGGGTCCACTCACAACATGCCCACCATGTGCATGTCCAGCCTGTCCTTGAACACCCGCACCGATGGGGCCTCAACCACCTCCCGTGGAAGCCCATTCCGTGCCCTCGGGGTCCTCGCCATCAGGAAGTGCTTCCTGGCATCCAAATTGAACCTTGGTTCCCTGAGCTTGGCTCCGTTGGAGCGCATCCTGCCCTCCTCTGCAGGGGAGAATAGGCCTCTACCCACAGGTCTCCGATGCCTGCCAACATTTTAGATTCCAACTCCCAGCATCCGTGACCATTGCAATGGCTGGCAGGGACTGATAGGAGCTGAAGTCCAGAACATCTGGAGATCCCCAGGCAGCTGTACTCAAAGGAAGAGAGCAAACGCCCAGGCTGCTCATCCACCTTTGACTGTAGCACAGAGGTAGGGGTGCTGCACTGGGACCCCGGAGGTCCCGGTTCTAGTCCACGCCCAGCCACAAAGCTCACGGAGTGACTTCGGGCCAGTCCCAGGCTCTGAGCCTAGCCTACCTCACAGAGGTGTTGTGAGGATAAGATTAAGAGCTGGAGGAGGATCCCTTGAAGGAAAACCAGTGGGAGAGAAATCACGTACATAAGGGGGGCCTGCAACAAAATGTTGCGGCCTGCAGCGCACAAGCTTCCGCTCTTCTGCGCCCTTTTCCAGAGCAAACCAACCCGTTGCGCCTCCCCCTGCCTTCTGCTCCCTCCCGCAGCACGGCGTGGCTGCCACGGATCCCTGGTCCGCCTTCAGGTTCCCCGGCTGCAGGCGGCCCAGGCTGGATGCGCTTCCCCTGCTGTTCAACTCGGCCATCGCCTTTCGCCTCACAGGGCCGCTTGCTTGCCGCCCTGCCGCTTCCTCCAGGAAAGCGAATCGCTCCTGTCCCAGGACCAGGCGTGGTTTCCGAACGCCGTCCAGGAGACCACAGGGGTCTCGGCTGCCCCTCCACGCACCTTGGTGAAGGGACAGCCCTTTGACCGGCTCTGCGGGGTCGCCCCCGAAGCTCTGCGCAACCCAAGGCAAAAGGTCAGTTTAGGGCTCCCGAACGCAAAAGGCCGGCCGGAGGCGACACCCAGCCGGAGCGTTGCCTCATCGTTCCCAAGGGATTATCTGCAGGACTCATCACAGGCTGAAACGGCAACCTTTGCTCGAAGGCGGTTGTTTGGCCACCCAGCCAGCTCGTGCAGGGAATACAAACAGAGCGGAGCGGAGCACGCCTCTCCGGCGTGGCCCGTGGGCTAACGAACACTCTGCGGCCCCTCGGACCTTCGAAGCCGCACGCGTCTGGCTGGGGAGACTGGAAAACCCAGGAATGGCCTACACTGCAGCCCTGTCGTTCTCTCTCCCCCCGCCTCCCCCAGCAGCACTAACCGAGCAGCGATCACTTCCACCCTGTGATCAAAGCGGCAAAGGGAGCCAGATGCCCGGATCGAGTCTGCAAAGCCCACGGAAGGCAAAACGAGTCACACGAGAGAAGTCCGCCCCACCGGACCGCTTCCAGATGTTTGGACTACCACGCCCAGGATTCCCGACCTTTGGCCAAGCTGGCTGGGGATGATGGGTGTTGGAGTTCGACTCATCTAAGCGGTGCCAGGCGGAGGAGGGCTGGGCAAACCCAGAAGCATCAGTTAAAGCAGATATAGGCAATTCAGGGCAGCCTGGTGAACATTTTTTAGATTTATTTTTTTAAAGTATTTGAAACTTTTCTAGACCATTGCATTACCGAAGTCTCAGGACAGTTTAACCATTTTGACCCCCCGCCAGGTGTGCCCCACAAGCTCCACTCATGCTGCTGAACCACCAAATCTGGTGGCAGCTAAAACTTATTTATTTCTATGCCACCCAAAGTGCTCTGAACAGAGCACAGCAATGGATAGAACTCAATATAAAATAGGAAGCATCTTAAATGTCACCGGCAGCACTCAGATTTCACTGAATTCCAGCCACAAGCTGCACCAGAGGGTTAAAACAGGCTCATCTCGCTTAAAGGCCTGTTTAAGCCTGTTTGTGTCTTGCTGCCACGAACTTGGGCAGGTTGGCAGCAGGACCAGTGAGAGGCCCGTGACATGTGAGTTATCCACCCATTCCTTCGAGGCACAGACTAAAAACTAAACGCTGAACAAATAAGCTGCGGAAGATGGAAAGCACAACTCTCTGCAAACTGGACAGAGCCAAATCGGACAGACGGAATCCTCCCATATGGGTGGCATTTCAGGGAAAGATTCTCCTGCCTGAAGAAAGGAAATCTTGGGATTTATGGAGCCAGGCTGTACCAGACCAAGCGAACTCTAGCAAACATGCAGAGGGCCGTGTACATACCAGGTATGCCAGGTAAGGGTTTTTTAACCTTTGTTGTTGTTGTTGTTAGTTGCAAAGTCATGTCCAACCCATTGCGACCCCATGGGCAACACTCCTCCAGGCCTTCCTGTCCTCCACCATCCCCGGAGTCCACCCAAGCTCACACCAACTGCTTCAGTGACCCCATCCAGCCACCTCATCCTCTGCCATCCCCTCCTTCTTTTGCCCTCAATCCTTCCCAGCATCAGGCTCTTCTCCAGGGAGTCCTTCCTTCTCATCGGGTGGCCAAAGTGTGTGAGCTTCATCTTCAGCATCTGGCCTTCCGAAGAGCAGTCAGGGTTGATCTCCTCTAGGACTGACCGGTTTGATCATCTTGCAGTCGAAGGGACTCGCAGAGTCTCCTCCAGCACCACAATCCAAAGGCCTCAATCCTTCGGCGCTCAGCCTTCCTTATGGTCCAGCTTTCACAGCCATACATTGCAACTGGGAAAACCATAGCCTGGACTATATGCACTTTTGTTGGCAGGGTGATGTCTCTGCTTTTTAGTACGCTGTCCAGATTGGCCATAGCTCTCCTCCCCAGGAGCAGGCGTCTTTTAAAAAAAGGACTTTGAGACGGACCTCCTCTTTTGTTCACCACTTGGCATTCCCCTGGCCGATCATCCTCTGGGAAAAGGTCATGCTATAAAGCAGAGACTGGCCTTGCAAGTATACAGAGGCTGCAGGGAAAAAACTGGGGGGACCTTTCCTACACCTGCCAATTCTCTCCTGAAAATCCAACACGGGGCATCATTGTTTTGGACTTGCCCTCCGCAGTTCAGGTGGGCTCAGTCCACCCGGGCTTGTGACACACCAAACGGGGGGACGACAGCAGCCATCAAGCCGAAGAGCAGCGTCGGCAAGGGAAATCGGACTCAGCGAGGGCAGCAAAAGGAAAGCGGCGCCCAGAAGAATAGTGAGAAGCAGAAATGCACCTGTCAAGGGATCACCTTTCTCATGCTTTCTTGACAAGAAGGTGCAGTTTTAAAAGAAAAATAATTTGGCATTATACTGGAAGATATTAGCCAACAAGAAATGTATTTGATGTTACATGTAATCACAGCGGCAAGGATTGCATTTGCTCAACACTGGAAAAGTGAAGAACTACCCACCAACGAACTGATTCTAAAAAAGATCCTGGACCGTGCAGAAATGGATAGATTGACTTTATCATTGAAAGAGAAAGAAGACACTGACTTCTATCAAACTTGGGACCTTTTTATGATTGGCTGGAGAAACAGGACTTGGCTTAGATTTAAAGATGTTTTTAAGTTATTATAAATCGATTTGAATATGACTGTAGAAGGTTAAAAGATACGTTGTAGGAGGCTGACCCAGAACGTCCGATGTATTTGATGATTACCGTTTTTAGTATTAGTTTAAAATCTTAATAAAAAATCTTTAAAAAAAAAAAGAAAAATAATCTGTGCAAAGATGCATTTAAATACACTGAGATGTTCTTTGACCATGTGGGAAGTCCACAAGCTCTGACTTCCTGCTACATTTCTACAGAAAACTGAAGGCATCCTAAGAGTCAACAATACACAGCAAACTTGTGTCAGAAAGACAAAGAGAGCCAGACAGACGACTTGCGGTACTCACTCGGACTGGAAAGTAGTCCCGGAAATATCTCCACACGGCCCAGTTTCGGACCCACTGTGATCTCCTGCCACCTTCAGAACAAACAGAGAACATCAGAGAGGATATGGGTTGGGGCAAGATCCAACAAGGGACACGCAGCCAATTCTCACAAAGGAGTATCAATTCCCAGCCATCACAGTAGAAAGGAACTACACAGGTTAGAAACAGAGAAAGAGAGCAAGTCAGAAGGGGACTCCTGGGCCATCCAGTCTGACCCCCGGCTCCAGCTGGCTCTGCTCACGACATGCCCACCATGTGGACGTCCAGCCTGTCCTTGAACACCCGCGCCGATGGGGCCTCAACCACCTCCCGGGGAAGCCCCTTCCACACCCTCGGGGTCCTGACTGTCAGGAAGTGCTTCCTGGCATCCAGATTGAGCCTTGGTTCCCTGAGCTTTGCTCTGTTGGAGCGTGTCCTGCCTTCCTCTGCAGGGGAAAACAGGCCTCTGCCCACCTCCATGGGTTCTTGAGACACGGGTTCAATCTGTCTCAGCAGTATTTATTTAGACAAACAGATGGTCTCCGGGAGAATTGATGAGCACTATTTGCTGCCTCGGCTCCTTTTCAGCTGCAGATGGCAGGAAGCAACCTCGGGACTCTTGGCACTGCAAGTCAATGTGCCCACTGGGCCATGGCGTCTCTCTGCTGGGACTTAACAGCCGTATCCGTAGCCAGGCCAAGAAACCTGTAAGCCCCTGCCCCTCCTGGCCTCCTAGATCATGGGCAGGCAACCTGAAAGATGTGAGATGTTTGGGACTAAACTTGCCCCAGCTGAGCGTTGCGGTCCTAGACATTTCCTTCCAGAAACGCGCTTGGAATTTTACTGTTCTCTTTCTCCTCACCCGGCAGAACCTTGCTAGCATCCGAGCGTTCTGAAATAGCCTCTCAGCCCCACGACGGAGTTGAAGATCCGTTCAGGACTGAGCTTGAGAAAGAGCAGCTCCCTTTTCATCAACCCATCTTGCCCATGCAAGAAGCTTTGATTTTATATTTATACCCCATTTTTCCCTCTTGCAAGGAACCCCAGGCAACTTATCTGCGCTCCCCAGAGAGGTCCGCCTGGCACCGTCAATATATGCTTTTTGGCGCCAGGTCAAGACCTTTTTATTTAACCAATATTTTAAAGTTAATTAATTTTAATGGTATATTCATTTAATTCATTTTAACCATGTCATTTTATACTCAGTCGTGGTGTGGCCAATTTTTTTATTTTAGGATTGGTGGGGTTTTAATGTTTGTAAACCACCCAGAGAGCCCTTTGGGCTATTGGGGTGGTATATAAATGCAATCAATCAGTCGATCGATCAATCGATGGTGGTCCCCCTCTCCACTTCATCCCCACAGAGGCCCATGAGATGCATCAGGCCCAGAGGCATGACTGGACCCCAAGTCACCCAGGGAGCCTCATGACCGAGTCTAGACTAGAATTTCTAGAGCCAGCCGAAAGCTCCCTAATCATGGCACCACGCTGGCTCTTCAGTGATGGGAAAGGGCTAAAGATAAAACATAACAGGGGAAAAAGAGATGCATTTAATCATGCCACTGAAGGAGAGTTTTGCAAATCCCCTGGAGCAACAGAAAGATGAAGAGGGGCTCCTGGATCAAATCAAGCCAGGGCTTCCCCCGGAAGCAAAAACGGGCCTGGAGGAGACCTTCATGCTGGGGAAAGTCAAAGGCAGAAGAAGAGGAGGGAGGCCAGCTGTGAGACGGGAAGCCGCTGCCTTGAGTTTGCAAGAGTCCAGTGGGACTAGCAAGCTCAGGCCATTTTGGTGGGCTTTCATTCACAGGGTTGCCTTGGGCCGGGGATGACTGGATGGCTTGTCACAGCCAGAAAGGCTGATGATCATAATGACCATGGTAAGAATTGCATAGAATTCCAGGGGTTAAGAGAGGAACTGTTCAGCCAATGTTGGGACAATTGATCTGAGGTTATCCAGGAAAGAGAGCAAGTTTTGTTCCAAGTTAAAAACCTCACGCCGTGCTTTGTCAGCTTATGGAAACCACAGCTACTAGATGAAATGGCCAGTGATCTAGGGACTGTCATCATCAACAACATCATAATCATTTCTGTACCTCCCAACAGGCAAAGTTCTTTGCAAGCATTGTGTTTAAAAGGACCAAAGGGCACTGGTCGCTCTGAGTGCCCTTTTCATGAAGGAGAGGCGGGGCATAAATTGAATGACAAAATTGAAGAAAGAGAGCTGCAACAAAATGTTGCAGCGTAGCCACACCTTCTGCCAGGCAGCCCCCTGCCCAGAATGCCTTAAAATGCAAGGTGACAAACCTCACGGCATTGATAGAAGTGGATTGAAACATTCCACTTTCAGACAGGGAGAGAGACAGGCCTACTTCCCGTGGAAGGACAGGGCCAACACGGAAGAGGCCCTGCCCTGCGTCCACTGGGACAGGCAGGGGTTCAGTGGCTGGTCTCGGGGCCCGGGGAGGCTCTTAGGGGGAGCAGCAGTCCTTCCCCCCTGTTGATCACACCTGGAGAGGAGGACACCCCCTTGGGCCAGGTCTGATCCAGCAGGGCTACCCAGGAGCAAGGTGCAATACTTAAAGACGCAACCGCGCTGCCGTTCAGGACACCACGGCCTACGTGATCCTACCTGTCTTCGGAGTGTTCCAGTCAAAGGCCAGCCATGCCAGGTAAACAGCTGCGATGACCCAGCAGTCGGTGCACAGCATGTACATGAGGATGATGGTGCTGACCACACCTGGCCCAGGAGGAAAAAGAGAGGAGGGGAGCGGAATTACCTCGTGCTCTCAAGGTGGGAGCCTCGCTAGCAGCACACGCAAGAAGGCGTGTGCCTTTCGAACCATCCCATTCTTTTAGGATCTGCCCACCCCCGCCCCTACGAAATCGGATTTTGTTGCTTAAGGCTTAAGCGAAGACTCCCGCTTGCCCCAAAGCCACCTTAAGAACCTCGGGGAGGTGCACTTCCTGCCAGGATCAGCATCTTCTGAGATTATCCAGGCTCTTTCAGAAGGGAACTGCCTGACCTCGAGCTCAGCCTTCCCACCCGACAGTCTCCAGATGTGCTGGACCACAAAGCCCAGCATGGGCACTGCAGTCCAACACACCCGGAGGCCAACAGGTCGGGAGAGGCTGGACAATCTTCTAGCACAAAGTTGTTATGGCCTACAATTCCCATCATCCCCTCGGACAGGCTACTATGATTGGGGATGATAGAAGCTGTAAGCCAAAACATCTGGGGGTCCCCAAGTTGCTCCCCGTCTTAAAACGCTTGCAGCTTTGCCCAGCGCGGAGCCCTCCATACCATCACCCCCACCCTACACAGCTGGGATGATGGGAATTGTAGTCCAAGGCACGGGCAGGCACCAGGTTGGGGCCCTCTGTCTGGGGCAAACGGAAACTTGAGGACTGAAATCAGGCAGGGTTGAAAATGGGATGTGGGGGAGGCAATCTCAGAACGGGGGCAGAACAAGAGGCCCCGAACGCACCTTGTGCTCGGGCAGGAACGGCAGCCGGAGGGATCCAAAGGGGTGTTTCTGTGCCCGGAGAATCCGAAGGGCCAGGGCAGGGCGGGGGGCTGGCTGCCCACGCAGGGCAGGGAAATGCCATGCGGCTCAGGAAGGTGCAAGCCAGAGCTGCACGCGTATTTTTGCTCTCTGGGGCAAAGAGTGCCAAAGTCCTGGCCGATCTGGCCCGGCGTTCGGCTCGCGCAGCGGCTAGCCAAGTGGCTGTGAGAATTGCACAAACAGGAGAGGAACGCAATGCACCCTCTGCTCGTGTTCTCCAGCAAGCCGTACAGGGAGGCGGACGAGGCAGGTGGCCCTTGGCACGGCTAGCAGCCACCCATGGGAGCCTCCACCTATGTTTAAAGCTATTTTAAATCAATTTCAAATTAATTTCAACAAAGCTGCCTTCACAATATTTGTCTTGCTTTGCTTCACACACTGTTGAAAGCTGCCCAGGGAGCGTCAGCAATGGGGCGGCATGGAAGTATATAAACAATACATTTGCAAAGTGGAATACTTTGCAGAAACTGCTGTCTCTTAAGGGACCGTTTGCAGGCATTATCCCCTGAGTGTTTTGCGTGGCTCTGCTGTGCTCCCCAAAGGGACAGGAACTGGACCAGCCCAGTTCCGTACGAGAAGGAACCAAGCGGGGCCAGCTGGTCATTCCAATGTCCATGAGGCAGTGTATCCACTCCGGGTTTCAGCCTGAACATCAAAGGCACTCTCCATGGTGCAGAGCCTGTGGGAGCTAGATCAACACCATGCTGCAGCATTGGCACTGGTGCACTTGGACCAGGGGACCCTCAGCAAAATGCGCCCCCATTTTCATCCTCACCTGCTACCGAGCACACCTCTGTTCAGGTCCTCCTCTAGGGATACTATAAGCTTTAACAAACTTCAGCCAATCCCTATTCCTCCACTCCCAGGCTGCCATTTTTCCTTCCCACAAGCACACATTTCACAGCAACAAAGCACATTCCATCCTGACCGAGCTGCTATTTCCCCCGTGGGTCGTACTTTGCCGAAGCAGCGTGTCCTTCTGCAAACCTCGGGCTTTCCCACCTATGCCAAGGCCTCCCTCCAGCTTCTCCGTGGCCCTGCTTGGGCACAGATCCTGCTGGCACTCAGCAGCCAGATTTGCTATGAGCAGGAGCGAGAAGGCCAAATGTTCCCAGATCGTGGGGGTTCGGTCCCTGGCCAGTCGATTCTGAATTGCCGGAAGTCATGGCACTTCTGCGCCACCTGCCACGCCTCAGCTCCACCGGGCGAGCTCGTTCTAATCTCCGTTCAGCAATGCCCCAGTTTGACCTCCAGTGTTTGCCTAGCGATCCAGCTCCATCTGCTTGCAAGCAAGCTACAGCCCAGCCAAAGAGAGGCAGGTCCCACCCCCACCCCACATACCCCCACACCGAGGACATGCCAACGAAAGCTGGCCCCGGCGAGAGCGAGGAAGACACGTGTTCGGAAAGTAACGAGGGAAGATGGCAAATAGATAGAGACTGGCAAATATTAGCAGTCTGGGAGTGTGCGTGCATGCACGTGGACGAGGGGGAGTGCGGGGGGGGGAATCTCCTTGGGAATTATAATAGGCAGGTCCAAGGGGGCGGCAGCTTCCCGCCCACCCTGCAAAAGCTACACATTAGCTTAGCCAAGGTCTGATCATACGAAGAGGCCCCTGCTAAAATATACTTAGATGTTGTTGTTGCTGCTGGCAGAAAGGCAAAAGAAATGGCAGGCGATGCGTAAAAACTTGGTGATCGGTGGCAGATGGGTTCAGACTGGTGTGGAGCTGGGCTCCCCCCCACCCCACCCCTCCGAGCAGCCTTCGGTTGGGGAACGACCGGCCAGAGTTCACGACAAACTGGTATCTGGATTGAAAGTGCTGAGGAATCGTAGACTGGGCCTCGCCACAAGCTGGTGCCATCCTGGTGCTTTGGACTACAGGTCCCAGAATTCGGTTGTGCTCATTTTGAAAGGCGGCCTGGAAAACAAGCCCCACTCATTTCCCTCGACTCCCAGACACAACCGGTGGCAGCAGCCAAGGCTCCAGACCGAGTCCCCCTATCCAGAAGTGAGCCCCTGTGAAAATTACTCCCTTTCTGGAACCGCTCTTAGGATGCGGCCGGAGCGGAGGGGCGCACCCACGCTGCCTCCCAGCTTGAGCTTGGCTCCCATGGCCAGCCAGCTTGATGGATCTCTCTGGGAGGGGCCCCGGGACGGCTCCGCATCCGAAGCACGGGGCATTGGGGCAGCGACATACCCATGGCGAGGAAGGAAAGCACCCATTGCAGCACCGAGATGCTTTGCAGCTGCTTCTCCACTTGCGACTTCGACAGCCAGGACAGATCCTGCAGAGCGGAGAGGATGCTGGACCCCGTCCCTGCGGGAAGAAGGAAGAAAGAGGTTGGGCTGCCGGCTCCTCTGCAAAGACCCCTCCGCGGAAGCCAAAGGGCAGGTAGCACAGGGCTGGGCAGAGCGCAGCTCCCCAGGGGTTCGGGACTTCCTATTCCAGCACTCCTGGCCAGGGGCAGAGCTGACAGAGGCTTCTGGGAACTGGAGTTCACAACATCTGGAGAGCCAGCGTCGGCTTACCCCAGTGAGGTGTATCGCTGGCACCATCTCCCACTGGGCAGCCACTGGGCGAATGTAGGCATGAATGGGCAAACTGCATCCTTATCCGCTCATCAACTTGCCTGTGGAGCATATATATCAAAGGAGCCCTGCTCAAGCAGCCAAGGGCCCAACTAGTCCACCTCCAGGAGGTCTGTTAACCTGGATTTTGTTCATCTCCTTTTTTGATGCTGCTATTTATTTTTTTGCCTTGTATTTTAAATCGGATCTTGTTTGTAGCCTGGGTGTCATAACTAGCTGCCTTGGCTGCTGGATTTTTTCAAAGGGGCGAGTAAGGGCAGAAAGGGAAATTCGGAATTAATTCTCTCTAATCTACCATCCTGTTCTGACCAGTGGCCAGCAAAATATCTCGAAGTGAAGACGACAAGCAGGGCGGAATATTTCTCAACAAAAGTCAGAGATGGCTTAGGGCAATATATCACCATCATAACTAATAACCTTCTCCCTCATGAATAATAAGTGGGGGGCATTATACCTCCTGGCCTGCTCCCAAAATTGCTGCCCCCAATCTGACCATTCCAGAAGCATCCCAAACCCTCAGAGGTCAAAGGGGATGCCTTGGGGCTCGTCACAAGGGCTCCTCCATACCAGCAAGACTGTGCAAGTCTCTTGATCTCATGAAGGAGCTCAAGTACAGCCTGGAGGCCAGAGGGATGGACCAGGCAGGTGGACGCATGCCTCGCTGGAACCACTGCGGCGGTCCCTCCCGCAGTCACGGGTTAACTCTTCACAGGCTAATGCACCAAGTTAAGGGCTCCAGGGTCGTGTGCCATGGAGCAATCGTGCATGCACGTTCTCCCGCTGCGTGCGCAAACCCCACAGGCCAGGCCACACCACAGCTTCTTGGGCATGTGCAGGAAAAAGCCCACTGGTGAGCCAGCCGCAAGGGAGGTCCCCGGGCAACCTGCGCATAAAGGCCTACAGTGGCAGCGCAAGCCGTCTCCACTCCGTGCCCTCATCTCTGCTTCACCCCGGCCTGGGAGGGCCAGGCCACTGGGACCCTCTCCCCCGCCACGCCATCTCGCTGCTCCAGGGGGGAGGAAGGCTTCGATGCACGGGGCTGAACACACGCAGCCCACGAGTCCACCGGGCTGCAGCGGGCATGACTCCCTGCGGCAGGAGACCGCAGGGCGACGCGCGATGCAGACGGGGGGCGCCCCGCAGCCAGCTGGGCAAGCCATTCAAGTGGGGAGACGGGAACGTCGTCTGCCTCTCCTCCCCTGGGGCTGGAGGTCTTTCCTCCCGGCCCCACACCTCCCAAGGAGGACGGAGGCCACCCGTGGCTGCGTGCAGCGGAGGAAGCGCTCCTGGTGCACCAGCCGCTGGGCCGCCACGCTCCAAACTGCCTTGCGGAGCCCGGGAACCGCCAGTCGGCCACTGCATGCGCAGAAAGCTGGACCACATGGCTCTTCAGCCTGATCCTGCACCCCCCTTCTGCCCATGCCAACGACCACTGACCCGGCCTCGGGTGGTGAAGCACATGGCCAAGCACAAGACTGGCCCCACAGGGCCCAGCCCTCTCTCTGATGCCCGAAGGTCAAGCGAAGGCGCGCCACCACTGGGACCGGGGGGCAGGTCAGCGATGGGGGCAGAAGGACCGGGAAAGCCCAGCCAAGCCGCGGCCTCTCCGGGCTTCTGCAGGGGAGAGATACACATTGACAGGCGGCAAAGGCCACCGTGACTCGGGAGGTAAACTGCGCGCTTTCCGCTTCTCCTCGGCAGGACCAGCGAGGCCGCCTTTCCCCACCGGGGGGGGGGAGGGGGGAACCCTGGCCGAGTGGGGCTGCTCCCCCTCGCTGTGTTGCCATTGGTAGTGCCATGTTTGCTGAGCCTCTGGAGGGAGACCAGGAGGGGGCGGAAGACCCGCCCCCCCCCCCATTTGCACTTGGGATTTTGACTTGCAGCCTGCTATTAGAAAAGGTCCAGAGGAGGGCAAGAAAACTGAGCCAGGGTTTGGAAACGGTGCCCTGTGAGGAGAGACTGAGAGAACTGGGCATGTTCAGCCTCGAGAAGGGAAGACTGAGGGGGGACATGATATCCCTCTAGAAGTACCTCAAAGGCTGTCACAAAGAGGAAGGTCAAGATCTCTTCCTGCTGATGCCAGAGTGTAGGACACGGAATAATCAAGTCAAGTTGCAACAACCCAGATTCAGGCTGGACATCAGGAAAAGCTTCCTCACTGTCAGAGCAAGACAACAGTGGGACCAGCTGCCTGGAGAGGTGGGGGGCTCTCCCACACTGGGGGCATTCAAGGCGAAACTGGGCAGCCACCTGAGTGGGATGGTGTGACTTGGTGTCCTGCAGCAGCAGGGGGTTGGACCTGATGGCCTTCCCGGCCCCTTCCAACTCTGCTCTTCTAGGATTCTATGATTCTCAGCTGGACCAGAAAGAGCCATCGCCTGCTTCAAAGGCTACTTGCTACAAAATGAGGCAAGCTCTTAAGCTAGTCATCTAATCAGCACACACAAGTGGCAAAACTTTGTCTTCCACCACTGGGGGTTGAGTTGCTGAGTTGAAAGCTTCTGTTCCTCTTGTGACCAATAATGAAACACGTTTGATCAAACAGGAGCACTAGTCTCCAGAGGATGAATCACTACGCCAGGAGCAGCACAGAAATCCTAGCTGAAAGCAATCAGACCTTCCTGCCCCAAGTTTCCGGAGTCAGTGCCCCTCACCTGAGCTTCAGGCTGAATCGGAAGGCCAGTTCCTCCCCAGAAAGTCCTTCCAAGAGACGCAAAGCCAGCCTTCCCCAACCCTGTGACCTCCAGAGGTGCTGAATTGCCGCTTCCATCATTGGAAGCCGGCATGGTCCATGCAATCCAGCATCTGTCCCTTGGAAACCACCAGGGAAAGCACCAAACACCTGGAGCAGAAGCAAAGGCCCAGAACCAGTCCACCGCCCCAGGGAAGCTCTGCGTTCCTTGCTGAAAATGCTCAGCCCAACCCTGGAGCTGCTTCACAAAGTACCCACGCCCCGATTGCATGAATTCTGCTTTCCAAGACATCTCCTGACCTTCGGGGAGTTGACTTGCTCTTCCAGCTCCAGTAACTCCTACCATAACCCGTGATATAACACCAGTTCCATGAATTCTGCTTTCCAAGACATCCCCTGACCTTTGGGGAGTTGACTTGCTCTTCCAGCTCCAGTAACTCCTACCATAACCCGTGATATAACACCAGTTCCATGAATTCTGCTTTCCAAGACATCCCCTGATCTTCGGGGAGTTGACTTGCTCTTCCAGCTCCAGTAACTCCTGCTGCAACTCCTGATATCTTTTAAGGTCAACTGCCAGACTCATTGCTTTGGGTGACCCCAATTTCTCGCTCCTTTTCTGCCTCCCCTGCTGCAGATGCATGTGCTACTTTTGCTCTGCCAAATTTGGCAGGAAGCAGGGGGTGGGAATTGAGCATTTTGCCACCAAAACGGAAGGGAACAGTTGTCAAAAATCCGCACTGAACTGCTGCAGAGTCTTTGAAAGGCCCCAGTTAGCTAATTTTGGCCTGATGAACTACAGTGTCTTGCAGCTGAATTTCAGTGGCAAGCTACAGATTTCAATTTTTTCCCCTTTGCCATGAATGTAGCGGTGGAAGGAACTGCAGTCCAGATAGGCCCAGGAGCTGGACACTGCCTTTCACGCTGCCCGAAGGTAGCCACCCCTTGGTCAGAGACCAACTCCACGAGATGAGCTCATTTCTGCCATTACCGTGCATAACGATGCACAGGGGGAGTGGATGTTACCTGGACACAGGTAGCACTGCAATATCCACCAGCCCCAGATCCTGGCCTATGAGAAGGCTTCTGTGCTTGGTCAGCTTACATTCCAGTTAAAATAAAGCAGGGCAAAATGGGTGGAAGCTGCTTTCATAAGCAAACCTCTGCACCGAAAGTCGTTTCAAAGCCACCGGGCACTTGGGAGATCAGGTCTCTCGACCAAGCACCAGGCCCGAGTTCAGCTTAGTGAGTGTTTGCATTGCCCAATTCGCTCAAGCAGAGTTCAGCGTCTTCCCCACTTTTCAGTCCCATGAAGGTCTGGCCCGGTTCTACCATATGGTTCCAAGGTAGAGGGAAGCCGTACACCAAACCACTGTTTCTTATCATGGTTCCTAGAGACCAAACTTACCATGGTCAAATACCATGACAGGGTTCAGACCACACAGCAGACCAACATGGTGAACCCCCCCCCCCACGGCTTGTCATGTTGGCGGAACCCAGCCAGAGGAGTTGCCTTATGTTGGATCAGGGCCCCTCCAGCCACTGACTGGCAGTGGCTTCCCAGTTTTCCCACACGCCTTGGGACCGCCTGGATGCAAAGCAGGGCTTCACCACAGTCCATGAGAAACGAGATAGATGTTTAAATCTGCACTGTAAAATATAGGTAAAAATCAAAATAAAACCTGGCAGCAACACAAAGACTTAAAATCCTGTGACAGAAAACAGAAACTGTTTTCAGCTGAGGATGTCCATAGGATGTGGGCTGGTATTATTTGTTTTTCGGCGCCAGGCAAAGACCTTTTTATTTAAGCAACATTTTAATTGTTAATACCACTGAATTTTATCTGGCCAGGGAGGCTTATTTTATATTGTGTGTTTTAAATTATTATGATTATTTATATGTATATTTTAACTTATTGGTTTTATTTATTGTTGTACGCCGCCCCGAGGCTTCGGCGAATGGGGCGGCATAAAAATGTTTTAATAAAATAAAAAAAAATAAATATTATATAGGGGAGAACATGGTTCTTGCCACA